CAGAGGATTCTCAGGATTCCTCTCCAGCACCATGAGTGGAAAGCATCAATTCTTTGGTGCTCAGCCTTCTTTATGATTCAGCTTTCACATCCGTACGTGACTACTGGCAAACCATAGCTGACTGATGGCAAAACCATAGCTTTGACTAGACAGACCTTTGGCAGCAAAGTGATGTCTCTGCTTTTTAATACACTGTCTAGGTTTGTCATAGCTCTCCTTCCAAGGAGTAAGCATCTTTTGATTTCATGGGTGCAGTTGCCATCCACAGTTATTTTGGAATCCAAGAAAATAAAATCTGTCTGCTTCCACTTTTTCCTCTTCTGTTTGCCATGAAGTTATGGGACCAGATGCAGTGTCTTAAATTTTTTAATGTTAAGTTTCAAGCCAGCTCTTTCACTCTCCTCTTTCACCTTCAACAAAAACTCTTTAGTTCCTCTTCACTTTCTGCCATTTGAGTGGTATCATCTCCATATCTGAGGTTGTTGGTATTTCTCCTGGAAATCTTGATTCCAGTTTGTGGTTCATCCAGCCCAGCATTTTGCATGATGTACTCTGCATATAAGTTAAATAAGCCAGGTGACAATATATAGCTTTGTTGTACTCCTTTCACAGTTTTGAACCAGTCATTTGTTCCATGTCTGATTGTAACTGTTGGTTCTTGATGTGCATACATGTTTCTCAGGAGACAGGTAAAGTGGTCTGGTACTCCCATCTCTTTCAGAATTTACCACAGTTTGCTGTGATCCACACAGTTAAAAGTTTAGTGTAGTCAGTAGCAGAAGTAGGTGTGTTTGTGGAACTCCCTTACTTTTTCCATAATCCAATGAATTCTGGCAGTTTGATCTCTGGTTCCTCTGCCACTTCAAAACCCAGCTTGTGCATCTGGAATTTCTCAGTTCACATACTGCTGAAACCTAGCTTGAATTTAAAAAGTACACATATAAAAAAGCAGGAAAATGTGACCCTTAACTAGGATTAAAAGAGCTAATTGAAACAGATCAGAAATGGTAGAGGTGATGGACTTTGATGAAAAGAACTTTCATGGTTACATGAGAAATATGAAGTGAAATACTTGTATGCTGAAAACAAATACCTCTGAAAAAAAGCAAAGGCAAATAAATAGAAAAGCATTGCATAATCATGCATTGGGAGAATTAACATTGTTAACATGTCAAACTACCATAAGCAATCTACAGATTCAATGCAATCCCTATCAAAATTCCAAGTAGTTTTTTTTACAGAGGTAGAAAAACAACCTTAAAATTCATATGGAATCACAAAAGACCCCTGAAAAGTCCAAGCAATTATGAGCCAGAGACATGAGCCTGGAGACATGACACTTCCTGATTCAAAATATATTGTAGTAATCAAAGCAATATGACATTAAAAAATATATAAACCAATGGCTAGACTAATAAGAAAGATAACACAAATAACAGATATGAGAAAATAGTAGAGAGAAGTTACTTCAGACCCTACAGACATTAAAGGCATTTTAACTTCGTTGCACTAAATAAAGTCAGATTAAAAGTTAATGTATTGTATGATACCATTTATATGACATTCTTGAAAAGACTAAATTATAGGAATAGGAACTGTTTTCTATCCTGGTTGTGATGTGTATAGTACATATATATCATGTGGTTATGGTATACATGTTTCAAAACTTCCAGAATTTCACACTTAAAAAGGGAAGATTTTACTGTATGTTAATTATAGCTTAATTAGCCATTTATGATAGCATAAAATATGAAAACTTAGAGATAAGTTTAGTAAATATATCTAAGACATATCTCTCAAAAAATTTTGAGAGAAATTTTAAAGAAACTAATAAATAAGGCAGTTTACCACCTTATTCATAACAAAACAGAAGTCTCCGCATTCTTAGAACATTCATCTACTGAAGTTGGCTGATCTATGTCTCAGTGTAATATCATTGAAAAATCACAGCCAATCTATTTTGTACAAATTGAAAAAGTGATTCTAAAATGAGTATGGAGATTCAGAAAATGTATAATATTCAAAGCAGTCTCAAAAAGGAAGAACATGGAGCACTTAACACTAACTATATTCAGTCTTGGTATAAAGTTCCAATAGTAAGTATAACGTGTTATTGACATAATGATATTTATATAGTCAAACATACACTTATGAGACTGGTAAATTCTCTTCCTAGATTTTTAGTCATAGAAAATGAAAATACATATCCACTGAAACATTTGTACATGGGTTTTTATGACATTATTATTTATAATATCCACAAACCGAGGGGAAAAATACTAATGTTTTTCTGTGGGTGCACAGAGAAGCAAATGTCCTTGAGCCATGTAATGAAATTCTAATAACTAAGAATAAAAAGAGATGAGTCTCAAATATAGAATGTGTAAACGAGTCTCAAAAAGATTATAGTGAACAAAATAAGCCAGTTTAAAAAAGAGCACATAGTACATGTTGTATGATTTCATTTGTATGAAATTCTGTAGCTGGTGAGCTACAGAATGTACTGGGTGACATGTCATCTTTGGTGACAAGGTAAATCTGTGTTGAGTCAAAATGGTGTGTAGCATCAACAAAAGGGAGTAAAATTTGGGAGGTTGACGAAACTGTTTCCTGTTGGTTATGATTTTTTTTTGCATTGGTGTTGATGAAGACTCAGAACTTAAGACTTTTACACTTATATCCATTTCATTTACTGTAAATTGCACATCAAGTGAAGTTGATTTTTAAAATAGTACATGAGCTGTTCATTTTTTTAGTTTAGAAAATGGTGTTTTAGTTCTTTCTTTTCACTCTTAATATTGTTGGAGGAATTACAAAAAAAGGAAGTATTAGTTTTAGCACAGTGGAAGCAGTGACATCATTTCAGCTCTTGTGTTTATTTTAAGGAAGCCAACTTTACTAAGTGATATATAGATATATACCTGTATATATACTAAGTGTATATATATATCTGTGTGTATATATATATATATATATACACAGATATACAGATAAATCATACTTGTCAGCAAACACTTAAGGGCAAGAGGATGTTTTGTATATACTTATTTTCAGTTCACACAAAATGTCTTAAAGTGATTGTATCCCTAATTTTATTAACATGGAAAAATAAAGAAGAATGCATAGTAAATTTATGTTTAGAAGATACCATATTCTGGACATTTCTTCATGACAGTACCTCCTTAAAATCAACCTTTGTTGACATACGTGTCAGACACATCACAAGTTTCAGGAACAAGACAATTTTCTCTCTTTGACTTATGACCTTTTTCCACACAAGACAAATATAGATTTATAAGGCAAATAGCAGTTGCTGATTATGTGAAAATATCATATACAAGAGAAGAGCCATTTTCACGTGCAACATTAGCCTAAATTGTTTGTTTTAGTAAAAATCTTCCAATATGAAATCAGAATGGTCTTTGTAATAAACTTGAATTTGACTTTAAGATTTTTCTCTTTTTAATATCTTTAGATTGACTTATTTTTTAAAAAATTTATTTCATATTTCAGTAGAGCCATTAACAATGTTGTGCTGTAATTTCAGGTGAACAGCAAAGGGACTCAGCCATACATGTATCCATTCTCCCCCAAACTCCCCTCCCATCTAGGCTGTACATAACATTGAGCAGTGTTCCATGTGTTCTCCAGTAGGTCCTTGTTGGTTATCCATTTTAAATATAGCAGTGTGTACATGCCCACCCCAACTCCTTAACTATCTCTTCCTCACATTCCCCCCCTCCTCCAGCAACTATAAGTTCATTTTCTAAGTCTGTGAGCCTCATTCTGTTTTGTAAGTTCATTTGTATCATTTCTTTTTAGATTCCACATGTAAGGGATATCACATGATATTTCTTCTTCTCTCTCTGGCTTACTTCAGTAAGTATGACAGTCTCTAGGTCCATCCATGCTGCTGCCATTGGCATTATTACGTCCTTTTTAATGGCTGAGGAGTGTTCCATGGTATATATTTACTACATCATCTTTATCCTTTCCTCTGTCCATGGACATTTAAGTTGCTTCCATGTCTTGGCTGTTTTAAACAGTGCTGCAGTGAATGCTGGGGAGATTCTTAAGGACATTTCTCTCCTTTGATCAAATAATTCTACTTTTAAAAGAAAATTCATCAACGAGGACTGTGGTTTGAATTTAACACTCTTTCTCACATTAGAAGGAAGAGAGGAAATGTAAGGAATAATATTGATTGTTAATATTCTGATAGTATTTGTTAATGCCAGAAATGTTGTGGATTTGCCCAGTATAAAATGTCATTTGGTTAGCTTTCATTATATGCCTGCTACTGGGAGATAGTCTTGGGTAATAAACTTGGATTTATCCTTGTGAGGAGAATATTAACTATGTATACTTGAATTGACTTTTAGCTGTTGTGTTAATATTTATCTATTTCATCTAGGTTGCATGGAAACTAAATGCACTGTATGAGCAGCAACAACAGGGAGAATTGGATTGTTTCCTCTGGTGCTTCCCTGAATCAAAGGATCTAGATAACACCTTTACCCACACACAGAACATATTTAGATTTATTGAGTCATCTCTTATTTTTGAATATGCCAAAATGGACTGGCCTCTTTTTTTTTTTTTTTGCAGACAAATTGCAACATTTGTAATGGAATTGTAACACACTCCCATTTTAATGTTATTGAATTGCTATAAGTCATGTGAAAAGACTCAGTTCTTAGAAATTACTGTAATTCTTAACAACTTTACTGCCACAAATTTCTTTATTTTTCTCCTGTTTTCTTGCTCTGTAATTAGAAGACATTTTGTTGTTACTGCTTTTATGAACTGTGATTTCTTTCCTCCTGCTTTGGAGTCATTTCAGTATCTACTTGGCCATTCATTTTTATTGGTTAATGTTCTAGATATTTTGAACTTTTGTACTTAGCTTGTATTTGTGCTCTGATGTTTATTTCCTTGATTTTTATTTTAAATTTAGGAAGATTTTGACACTTAACCTATTGTGGTATTTGTATTTACAGTTCCCTGAATGTGGTTTCTATGGAATGTATGATAAGATCCTGCTTTTTCGCCATGACCCTACCTCTGAAAACATCCTTCAGCTGGTGAAAACAGCTAGCGATATCCAGGAAGGGGATCTCATTGAAGTTGTCTTGTCAGGTAGTATACCTTTTCCTTATTCATAGATTAATACTTTGCATCTGGAGAATTCTTGGCCATAAGTTTTGCCTTTTTTGTTTGTTTGTTTTGATTTCACTAATTTATATTAAACACTTGATTTTGTATTGGGTATAGTCGATAAACAATGTTGGGTTAGTTTCAGTTGAGCAGCAAAGGGACTCAGCCATACATATACATGCATCCTATTCTCCCAAACTTCCCTCCCATCCAGGCTTGGCCATAAATTTTTAAGGCAGCATTAAAAAAAAAAAGTATATCAAACCCAACCTCAAGAGGAAATTTTAGAGCTTTGCCTATATGAGCTTTCAACATTATTTTGAAAAAGAACAAAAGGTTTCTCTTGAATTGGCTGTTTCCCCACCCAGTTCTGTCCCAGTCACTTTTCCCAACTTTTCACTCTCTGCAGATCCCCCAAAACATACATGAATAGTTTCATTCATTTAAGTCACTTGAAACAGCAAAAGCAAATGAAAACACACTCGCCAACAGCGAGGTTAAGACAGATGTCAGGGCCTCAAATGTACTGAGTGTCTGAAAGCCAAGGGCTGGAAACCGTTGCTTTAGTCAAGTCAAAACTCCAGTAGCTACTAGCCAAGACCAAGTTGGAAACCAAAACTCAGGAGTTACAGCAGGTCAGGCCATGTTGTGTGACTTTAGCTAACTCACTCCCTGAGAAACAGCTGCATTTCCTCTGCCCAGATTTTTATTTCTTGTTTAGGGTTTATATTTCTTGTTTAGGGTTGGACTGTGCCTGTCAATACACACAAAAATTTAGCTTTTTTAAAAAATGCCAGAAAACACAGGTAGCAGGGATCTTAACAACAGTAATCAGTCCAATATTCTAAAGAAGTCAAGATTTTTATTGTTTATCTTTGTTAAAATTGAGTCATTATTGAGAAATGCAGATTGTACTGCTCCTTTTTCACTTCTGGCCTTCTTAAAGGAAATCTGTTCACTTTAAAAATGTTTCTAGGCTTCATTTCCTCAAGTTCCAGAGCCTAGTACTTGGATGCACTGATTATAATTCACTTGGTCTTTGGTTTGATGAAGTCCAGTTCACATTGTCTGTATTGATCTCCATGATAGGAGACTGTGAGAGGTCTTGGGATTAACACATTTTCATTGGATAGATAGATCCTGTAAAACAGCTTGTTTCACTAGATAAAAATAATAATTTTACAGTTGCTTATAGTTTTGCCAGTTGCTAAACAAACCAAAAAAGGAAAGGTTTTCACTTTTTTAAATTTGAGAGGGGGAATCACTTACTTGTGTTCTCCCTTTTATTTTTCTTTGACTCTTTTGACCTTGGCTCACTGCACCTGGCCTCACAGCACTAGTGCCTAGCCATGTTGTCCTGTAAGTTTCCTGTTTCTGAACACTGGAGGCAGCCTGAAATAAATTATTCAGAGACAGCATGCACCAGATCTATTGTCACCATAATTCATACTAGATTCAAAGCCAGACGGCTTTGCAAGGAATATGTTTTATGAGCCCTTTTCCTGTGGCTGTGCCCAGAAATATATGAAGACTTTCAGAATTGGATTTCTAAATTATTTCTTTTTCTTCCCATTTTACTTTTGTTGTCGAGTCCCCAGAGTAACACCCTACAGATTGAGTGCAAGCTGTATGTGTGTGTGCTTACGGGGAGAGCTGCTGCCATTCACATGTTACCCCACGCCTTCCCTGAGCCAGACTTGCTATGCCCCGTGCTGACCTGATGTAACGGTGTTCTGCTTTTCCTCTCCATCTGTGCAAACCCAGGACCTCTTCTGTCATCCGCCCTGGATGTTCTCTGTCCCGCCTCTCCTGTCTCCCTGGCCACAGTGCTGAGGGCTGTTTAAGGGTGCCCCTTTTCCTCACTTGCTGTCCGATCACCTGGCTCAGGAACGCCTCTTCTACCCTCTCAGCAGCTGTCTGGTTGGTATTTAAAAGAAGCCATTTTATAACAGCCTGATCTGATTCTTCTCCTGAACCGTAACCTTTGAACCCTTTTCACATTTCACGTAGTTCCACTTCCTGGATACATTTAACCCTTATATTATTCACACACATATGCAGGTGTTACACATGTGTGTACATACAGTGCCTATGTACAGTGTGTGCCTACACATTCAGTTATGTTTAGATCTCCAGCATTTACCTGTAAACATCTTTGGCAGCTATATTCTTCTACCTCCTCTCCCTCTCTAATGCTCAGTATTTTGCTTTTCTCAGCACATATTAAGAATAGTGTTTACTGAAAACCTCCCACCCCTCCAGTTTATAGCCCTGTTTTCCCCCACACTGCTTACCATTGTTGGTTGTTGTCCATCGCCCGCAGCACAGCCTCCACCCTGACCTCACCGAGACGGCGCAGCCCCAACTCGGAGATCTCCACTTGGCGGCACTCCTCCTCCAACTGGTCAGTTGCCACCAAATACACAACCCCTGTCCTTTTCACTGTAGTTTTTAATCATTAACTCTCTGCCATTTTTGGACTAGATTTCCCCCTTTATTCTTCTTTCCCCACAGCTCATGGCCCTCTGTATTCATGTCCTACCTCACTTTGATGCAATAATGACTACTTGATATTCTGTTACACCATAGCAGTTCCCACTATACCTGTCTGCAATCTGAACTGCTTTAACAAAGTCTTTTTTTGCCATCCCTGTTCCGGAACCACACATGACTGCCAGACACACATCCCTTGCCAACACGGCTCAGGACAGATCTGTCCTTCACCTGGCTATACTCTGTGCTGCAGACTTCTCTCCCTGTCCTTTTGTTACCTTAGAGTGAGGCTCTCAGTAAACATATATGGGTTGCTTGATTGGCTATTGGCTACCACATTAGAAGTTATCACATATACACAATTTTGTAAAAATACTTATTTGTTGTAAAAATATTATTTCTAGATATATCCTCAAAAGTAAACTGAACTTCAAGTCTCCTTGCTATGCATTTACCCAGCCCTGACATGGAATTAGTGCCTGTGATGTGGGCAGGATTGTATTACATTATAATTTGAGGCAAGACAAATGATAGCTACTAAGACACTTCAGGTCATGGTGCAAGGAAGCTCATAAACATACTCATTCCTGAGCCAGTCCTTGAAGAGAGTGGGTACTATGATTGGCCAGAGAAATATGCCATTTCCTGGAGGTGGGGTTAAGGATCAGCTTCATTCAAAATATAATGGGTAAGCAGAGCAGCGGAGCCAAACACTGGACATCCCTTCTATGGCCTTTTGACCAGTTCCAGAGCATAAACTTGCTGTGGAAATTTCCCTCCTGGAGACTATAATTTTACTGTTAAAATTCATTTATCCAGGCTTTCTGTTTTTCCTCATGAAAAATTAAATTTTGCTCTGTGGTGACATAAACATAATCTGATTCTTTTCATGTTTGATCAACATTCCATTAACAGGAACATTTTCTGACATAGTATGGCAATAAAATGTCAGAAAATATGGAAAGCATTAATTTCCAGTAAGGTTAAATCCTCTTGTCTCTTCAGACGACATCAGAAATTTTCTTGTGCTTATGTCATTTTCTGCTGAGACCTTTCCTCATCTGTTAGTAGTAACTGAACTGCTCCTGGCTAATTCACTGGCTCCCCCCTCTTTTTTTTTTTTTTTTTTTAAATTTTGGAAAACATGGCTTGGTTGAGCTAGTGCTTTTATACCCAGTGAGCCAGGAAAAGATTGCTCATGGGTGGATGGGGGTAGGTTATAGAGGAAAAAAAAAACACAACAACTCCATGGAAGTTCCCCCCCATATACACTCCCATAGCTGGCAAACTTTCTTTGTCTGTTGTTATTGTTGTGAAGTAAGAAAACATTGCAAATGGAAATTTCTTTTACTAAAGGCAAAGTCAAGTTCAAGTCTATGGTACTGAGCTGTAAAATAAAGTTAATGGAATTTATCTGAACTCTTCTTCATGATGAATCTCTATTGAAGCTTGGTAATTTAGCCATAGTCAAGCATATTAATAACAGGACTGTGTTCAGATGACTCAACTCTTTTTGCTTTGTTTTGTTTGAACTTGATCTCTAATAATTGTGTATTTGTGTGTATGTATCTATCTTGTAGGTGATTAAATAGAAAATAGACAAGGACTATAAGAACTTACCAAATAAAATCACAGTTTTTAAAGTCTTAGAGCTAAATATTAAGTCTTTCTTTCTTTTATTAACAGTAAAAATCCATATTTTTTCTGGGAAATTTTCATTACCCTTCACAGTAGGTTATCCTGTATTATTTATACCTTTGCAAAGTGTTGTTTATACATGTGGTTATTTGTTCCCAACTATTTAGGGATGGGAGCTTCCTTGGAACCCAACTATTTAGGGATGGGAGCTTCCTTGGAAAGCTAGTGCTGTAGCCCAGTTAGAAGGATTTGGACCTATTCTTGGGCAGTTTCAAAAGAGCTGGAAATGAGGTAGAGATCAAGATATAGTTTAAAAGTAAAATAGATGTAGTAACCATTTGGGTTAGTTCATGAAGGAGATGAGAAAAGGAAGGGGACACCAAGGAGAGCTACAGTTGCTTAGCACGGTCTCATTTCCTTTTCATCTTCCAAAGTCTTGTCCTCATACATTGTTCAGTGCATCTGCCAAATGGTTTGGGGATTGCCCTGAGGGGCTGAAGAACTGATTTTATGGCCGAATAGTACCATTGATTTCCTTCATGATTTTGTACAAGTTGTATGTGTGTGTATGTTAGTGGCTCAGTCCTGTCCGACTCTGCGACCCCGTGAACTGAGACCCTCCAGGATCCTCTGTCCATGGAATTCTCCAGGCAAGGTGAAGTCACTTAGTTGTGTCTGGCTCTTTGCAACCCTATGGACTGTGGCCTGCCAGCCTCCTCTGTCCATGGGATTTTACAGGCAAGAATACTGGAGTGGGTTGCTGTTTCCTTCTCCAGGGGATCTTCCTTACCTAGGGATCAAATCTGGGTCTTCCACACTGCAGACTCTACCATCTGGGCCACCAGGGAAGC